GGGCAAAATGGGAAAGAGAGGTTATAATATGAGTTAAAAAGGGGTTAAGTTTAGCAAACCCTTCATTCTTCTTCGTCCACCGTCATTCCCTTTCACCATTTTCTCTCAACTCTTCATTCAATTTTTCAAAGATTTTAGAGGGCTTTTTGAGTAATTTTGGTAGAGAGTTAATCTAAAGCATCCTAAGGTAAGGATTTTTGCTTTAGATGTGAATTTTACTGATAGATATGTTGAAGTCTTATAGTGTTATTGTTTAAAGTTGTAGAGAAAAGACTATCTACCAAAGGAAAAGAGAAGTGCTAGTGGAGTCACTCCATCATAAGGTAAGTAAATCCAACCCAAGTTGAGATTCAAGAAATTTATTGAGTAGAGATTTATGTATGCATGTGTATGTTATGTTATTGAGAAATTGAGATGAGATGTGTATTGAGTTTATGGTTGTTGGATATGTTTACATTATGAGAAGTGTTTGATGTGTGAAGAGAGATTGAAATTGAGTTGAAGTTGGAGGAGTTTTGCATGAATCTTTTTGGGAGTGTTTTCCTTGGCAGGAACCTAGAGTGTATGAGGGAGTTTTCTCCCATTTTGGATGATTAAAGAAAGGAGAAGAGTTATAGTTAAAGTAGAGTTTTTATATGCACATGAGTTGTTTGATGAAATGCTTAAAAGAGGCATGAGTAAGGGTAGAGAACCTTAATTACTGCTACATGTCATACTTGCATTTCATGAGTACATTAATGAGGATGAGTCATTCATAGGCATTAATTGTGCATTGTAGAAGTAGCTTGAGAAAGAGTGGAGAATTTTGAGAAGTAACTCCTCTAAGAGTAAAGAGAAAGAGAGAATGAGCACTAGAGAATAAAAAGAGAGTAGTGCTAAAGAAGAGAATAGAGTAGGTTGTGCGATGGGGAACCCATGAGTAATGGGTAGAGTATTCCCACATGTACGCCGCAAAGAGAGAGCGGCCTGAGTATGAGAGAAAAAAGTGGTGTGGCCTGTGAGAGTGCATGCGGATGAGGGCTATACCCGAGAGTACCTAAGAGAGAGAGAGTATACACTCACATGGCCAAGGGTTCCGAATCCATGCATAACCAAGTCCGATCGGCTGAGAATGAGTAGACATCACAGAGAGCGGGAGCGAGTCCCGGCCATGCCTCCGATAAGATGGGGCCATGACTTACAAGAGAGAGTTCGTAGAAAAGAGTTCTAAGAAAAAGAAACAGAAAGAGAAAATAGAGAGAATTGTAAAAGAGAGAGTACATGAGAATAGGGCAATTGTAAGGAAAGAATTGAAGAGAGAGAGTTACGGGGATATAGGAGTAGAGGGTTTACTTACTAAGCATTGTTTGTGCTCACCCCATTGTTTTCTATGTTTTGCAGGATCTAGGTAAGGACGCAGTCGGATGGACGTCGACAAGCGAGGAGTAATAGCTACACTGTTCACTATTTTTGACAACTTTTGTATATATTTAATAAACGAAAAATTTGGGCCCAATTACTTTTGTTAGTATACTTGTATTTTTATTATGTATATTTTATGAGTATATGCGTAGAAAACAGCTATTACATCATTCTTGTATGCAATGTCCTTCCTCAAACTGCTAATGAACCTTGCAATTGTATGTTCTTTCTCTTTGGGAATATAACTTCTCAACATCAACCCTTCAAACTCCTGAATATACTCTTCAACTTTTCTATCTCCTTGCTTCAAATTATGGAACTTGAGATAAAGGTCTTGCTTGTGATTGTCAGGCAAGAACCTTTTCTTCAACACTCTCTTCAACTTCTCTCATGACCTAATCCTTGTCTTCCCTTTTCTTTCTCTCTTTTTCTTTGTATTCTCCCACCACAAGGAGGCATACTCCTTGAACTTTAATATGACTACTTTACACCTCTTCTCATCATTGTAGTTCTTAAACTCAAATACCCGTTCAATCTCATGCAACCAATCAATGAAGTCATTTGGGTTAAGACTTCCATTGAATTCGGGTAAGTCTATCTTAATACCCCTATCATCATCAAAGTTTCTTCTCCTCCTTCTAGGTTCCTAGGTTTCACTAGAGGAAGCACTACTATCTTCTATCTCTTCCACTCGTGGTGGTGTTTCCATGGTAGTCCTTTGGTGGTAGTGTGGTCATCCTTCTCGGTGGGGTTGGTGTGGGGTTTCTACATGGACGGGTTTGGGTTGGGATAGGATAAATTGGCTATGTCCTTAGACATGTTAACCATCATGGCCATCATTGTATTTATTTGTTGCTTAACCTCATCAATTTCACCTTATAACTCTAGGTTAGCAAACTCCTATGAGGGTAGAGGTGAAGGTAGGGAGGTTGGGGTTTTGCTTGCCATGAACTTTAGGTGAGTTTTGGATGAATTTCGGTTTAGTGAACAGTAATCTCAGATGAATAGTAACTTTTTTTTTTAATATGGGAAAAGTGAAATTTGGGAGGGAAAGGTCAAGTGTATAAGTTTCGGTGATTTTGGTTGAAGTGAATAGTAATCTATGAATAGTATTTATGATTAGTAAGGATTAGATTAATTAAGTTTGTTTAGGATTTGGTAAAGGTTTATAGTTGGTTTGGTTGGGAAGGAATGGGTTTACTTAAATTTGGAGGGAATTAGTTAGGATTGGGTGAGATGGCAATGGAATTGGTTAGAAGGGAACAAGATGTAAGGGGGTTGGTTAGGGTAATAGTGTTTGAGGAAAGAGAAAAAAAAAAAAGGTTCAATGACATGCAAATGAGAGGGAAAACAACTCAAGCCAAAAACACTTCCAAATCTGGTAACTCCAACTCTATTTCTGGCCAAACTACACAAATTCAACCCTAATGCAATTCTATTCCACTTCACAACCTATGCTCTGATACCAAATGATCCATATCCAACCAATTCAACAACAAAACATACCCTAAAACCAAGTAGAAATTCTGCCAAACATAAAACATAAACAAACTCACACTTACTTGCAAATCCGAACCAAGACAAGTAGAAACACTTTAAGCCTAAAGGATTGCTCCACCAATTTGAATTGATTCACCACCAAATCCCCTTGCCAAGACTTGGATAAAGAATAACACAAAAGTTCTCTCAAATGGATAAACCAATTTCATATATTTCCAAAAACTAAATGTTACAATGAAATAGTTGCCCTTATATAGGCAAATACAAGGATAAACAAGTAAATTACAAATACAAGAAAATGACATAAAATTAGCTAAATATTACAACTAATAAGGGTGTAAGAATTTGGGCCTTGAGAATCATGTAAATAGATCCAATAAGGAATCATGTGGATCTTCCCCTTTGGAATGCAACTTCGGCCGAATTGAGCTTTTTCAATACTTGGACTTCTTTCTTGGTGGACTTGAGCTTCCCTTGTTGTGCTTGGACTTGGAGTGGCTTGGGCTGAAATATTGGACTCTCTTCCTCCTTGGAACTTGCTTGGGCCGAATAGCCTCCATTACTTTCCACATTCCAAAAATCAAGTGTTTTAGGACTTGGAGTGAATTTCTTCAATTCAACTGAATTAGCAACTATTTTAGGACTTGCAATTCCTTGTCTACTCATGTTTACAAGTGTTTTAGGACTTGTAAACGTATCACTGTTCTTCATATCTTGAAATATCTCAAGGGAGCTCCTGGTCGTAGAATCCTTTATAGTAATCATGGTCACAATAAAGTAAAAGGATTTTTAGATGCAGATTGGGTAGGGTCATCTGTATACAGATGTTCTGTGACTGAATTTTGTGTCTTTTTTGGAGGAAATCTTACCTGTTATAGCTAGATCAAGTGCTATGGCACAAGTGACGTGTGAACTTATATGGATAAGACATCTTCTTGGAGAAATTATAGTTGGTGATCCAAGGACTATGGATTTGTGGTGTGACAAACAAACAGTAATACATATAGCAAATAATCCATTTTTTCATGAGCGGACAAAGCATATAGAGGTAGATTGTCATTTTGTATAGGAAAAGCTTGAACAAAATTTGATTGCTACTAATCATGTCAGAATAGGGGAACAACTAGCTGATATCTTTACAAAATCTTTAGATAGAAAAAGGGTAACTCACATTTGTAATAAGCTGGGCATGATAGATATATATGCTCTAGCTTAAGGGGAAGTGTTAGGAATAGTGTGAATATAGGTAAGGGTAATTATGTAATTGTGATACCATAAATATATTAGGGTTGTATATTGTATTTTTTTAATTGAATAAAATATATGAATTCCTTCTCTACGAACATACTAGAAAAAAAAATGTGGTACATAAAGTACATAATCCCACGATACAGATTTTCAATTTCAACTGACAAAAATAAGACCAGATGTCTCATCGATATATATGACTTCAAGGACTCTTATGCTTCCAACTGAAGCCTAGCTTCTCATAAAGAGACTAGAAAACGAGATTCAAACTAACTCCCGACTCTTGTATAGATCAGAAAAACAAAAACATTATTTCCATCAGCTTCATAATTGAGTCTCCCCGTAGATGATGAAGCACTGAAATTTCTTATAGCAGCAGCTAAACGCTCCTTAGCCCGAACTGATCCATCAAGACGCTGATAGGTTCATAACTCTAAAAAATCATACATTGCATGTGAAAAGTAATGCCTATTATTTGTCAAAATCAACTAGCATTCAGCACACCAGCTGAAGACATAAACTTTTAACATTATTAAGGTTCAAAAAGCAAACCTGTAAAATATCAAGCGTATAGGTCATCTGAGCAAAAAGAAGAACACAATGCCAAGAAGCATACAATCGAAGTAGTGGGTCCAAAATTACAGGTTTACTGCTAGCCTAATAAAGAAGTCATAAAAACAACATTTTGGTATGGCTGAAAGAAGATACAAATTGCAGACTCAGAAGCAGTACATAGATTACAATTCCACATTCATCATCCTTAGTCTACAAAACCTAGATGAGAAGGCTACCTAAACGACGTGTTCACCTTCTACAAATGGTTCGGGCTCAATACCAGGAAAGAGGTGCGGATGGCTACATGCCTTTTGCAGTCCTATTACCTAGAAAAGGAAAAAAAAAAANTTCTCTTCCCGTCTAAGCCTTTGTTTCCTATTGCCCCAAAGATATTTGGTAATACTTGTTTTGTTCATGATGTTCGACCCCAGGTAACCAAGTTAGATCCCAAATCTCTTAAATGTGTTTTTCTAGGTTACTCTCGTCTTCAGAAGGGATATCGATGTTATTGTCCTAGTCTTAATAGATATCTGGTGTCACCTGATGTTACTTTCTTAGAAAACACCCTTTTTTTTCCTACTTCGTCTACCTATACACGTCAGGGGGAGGACAATGACTTATTAATCTATACTGCCACATCCTTACCGGCTACTCCCACACCTGAGGCTTCCCCACCTACTGTTCCTCCTCCAGCACCACCACATGTCCGTCCACTACCTCCATTTCGCATTGTTTATTCTCGTCGACAGGAACCTCATGTACCAGTCCCTTCGTCGTTAGACCCAGTCTCCAGTGATCCCGATACCTATGTTCCTCGTCAAGAAGACACTCAGACTTCATGTCCTACCCAAGACTATTCGTCGTTGGATCCAACCTTGCGTGATCTTGATCTTCCTATTGCTCTTCGGAAAGGTAAACGTCAGTGTACTTATCCTATCTCTTCATTTGTTTCTTATGATCACCTATCATCTTTNCAGAATAAAAAGGTAATAGTGCATGGTAGGTTCAGTGATTTAATTTAGGAAAGAAGAGTAATTAAAAGCATATGCATCAATCTACCAATTTGAGCTTCAAAATGAAGGTGCCGAAATACAAAATGAACAATTTAATATAACCCTGATTTTAGTATCCAATACCTAATATTATTTTTGTGTCAATGAATTCATGTCTAAGATGTCTTGTTTCTGATTGTAATTGCATCAAAGGGGCATAGATTTTTTTTTTTTTTTTTTTTTTTTAAAGTACAATTAGTGAAAATACCCATAATGGAATTACAATTGGAAAAAAGTAAAGGACATTTTTCATCAATGTTGCACAGCCTATTCAAGAAAAAAGAAAAAAACCTGTTAAACAATGTCCTGCTTCATTAAATGTAGAAAGGAGCTCTTTTACTTTCCCAAACGCTGAAGGCAGACAAAACTGCATCAAATCCCAAAGTTTGAAAAAAATATTTTGGATAGGTGTGCCACTCATCAACAATCTTCTGGGCATGGCAAATCACTCTTTGGGGACTTTACATACAACCTGTTGTGGTTCAATTATTGAAGTCTTTCAAATGAAAAAAATCATAGGAAAATCGAGAAATTTTTTTGCAATAAAATATTAATTTTCACCTACTCTGATCTAGTCTTATTTTAGACAACTAAAAGAAATTTACTCAAAATTCACACTAATAATCACCCCGCAAAGTTGAGAAAAGAAAGGAGAAGAATAGAGTGAACAGATTAAGAATTTACGAACATGCAACTGTCTTACTACTATTACATTCATTTTATATTTCTTATATATGATGATTGACAATAGCATCTCTTATATTTGTTAAAAGTAAAATAAATTTTATCAGCAAACAATTGCTACCACAGAAATATATATTACTAAATATGTTAATCTCAAACTTACACTAGAAGGGCTTTTAAGTCTCTGGGCTTCATCGATTACGGCATAGCACCAAGGTGTTTGAGATAGAAAGTCCTGATCCGTCAGGGTACGTCATATGTTATCAAAAGTATATCAAAAGGCAATGATGATACATGCAAAAGAATTTCACTTACAATAAACAATTAAAACAGACATAAGATATTAGGGGAAACATTTACATTTATATCTCAAATGAAATGGGCAAACCATAAGATATTAGGGGAACCAACAAAGAGAAAAAATTTCCATAATTCACTTAAGTTAACATATAATTCCATCCATTAAAAATTTAATCTGTAACATCATATAAAAAATTCACTTAACATATAATTCCATCAGATGATGTGAACTTCTCTTTTACTTGCTCATTCATTGCTTTGTGTAAACTGCACTGGTGTTCTTTCTCACCCACATATTAAGAACTTTAAGTTTGGGTGTGAATTTAGCCATCTTCAACACCCAATCATCTATCACACTTAGCATACACAAAACTAGTGCAGAAAAAAGAAGGAAAATCATTAACGCAAACCATTTCCATAGATGAAAAGTATCATGACTCAAAATTGAATAAAAGGCTTTAAACTCACAGAATGGCCTAGGTGACATCTGATTTAACTCAGAGGTTATACACAAAAAATAATTAGAAAAGATTGTTGCAATGTCATTACTCAATTGGAAATTGATTATCTGCTAACAGTAGGAAAAGACAGAGACTGACCACCATCCCTATATCAGTTTTCTCATTACCATTCACCTCCACTATGTTTGTCAACCAATGGATTCATAAACTGATCAAACCCAAAAAGTGTTCCAACAACCATCCAGTTAGCATTCAGCTTGACTGCAGTACAAAATACCAATTGATTTTTATTACTAAAAAAAAGTAATAATAAATAATCTTCCAACAGATATCCATCCTATCTAGAAATTACAATGACAAGTAAAAAATTGAACGTCTATCAATGCAACAAGTCTGTGGAATATACTCCAGATTTATTCTCATACTTGTTTCTAATGGTTGTTTATAGGAGCGCATCACATCATGGGTTTACCCTGATCATTGCTTTAGACAGGCACGAGACAAACAAGGCAGTGCAACTTACGATGATTACCAATAAAAGAATCTAAAAAGCATTTTTGTAAGATTAAAAAAAGCTAGAAAACAAAGAAACTAAATTAGAACAAAAAAAATATACAAGGATAAAGAAAAACAAACTTAAGAAGCATTAAATACTGTGAAAATCAAATGGAAATGCACCGAAGATATGCATGACAGTTAACATCAAAATATTTGCGTAAGCAAATATACAACCATACACGACAATAGTAAACAAATTGTTTTTAAAACATGTCTATTTTTCAATCGAAGCAAAATACTATGTCATAAAGACATAGATGACACATTTATAATAATTTAATCCTCGTATAGACTATGATAGCTTTGATATTGGATCTCACTATTGAGGAAGAGAAGTCCATCAATTGATATCCATAAAAAAGATGTATCATAAATCATTCATGAAAACTGAATCAGCAAAATAAGCAAACAATGTGATTAAGTAGTGTTACTGGAAAAAAAATAAAGATAATGCTCCAGCCACAGAAGAAAATTATCATGGGTTTTATCTTTACTCACTTCCCAAAACTTTTCAAGTGACAAAGTTTAGTTGACAATCGACATGGAGCAAACTTTGCTGCTAGTCGAGCTACAATCCAGCAAGTAAATGGTCAGTTATGTGAGGGACGTTATAGCCCCTTATCTCTCGGTATTCAGCTTTCGGAGTTTGAGCAACTTAAAGTCCGCACTAATGAGTTTTACATTCAAGGTTAGAGATTAAAAAATACCTGAAAATCGAATTAAAGAATCCTCATATATTCCTTCTTCATGCATTAGCCTTTCATTCTGCTTTCTGTGTTTTCAGCCAATTGCTCACACACCAAAGTCAAAAGTGGTCTGCCAAGGCCAAAAGACTTCTCAAAGGCTCTTTACACTATAGATTGTGGACAAAATGATCTTCATTATTTAGTTACAACGATGACGGAGGACCAAGCCAAGGCAGCCATCCCCAATATAACTGATCAGTTTGTTCAAGTCATAGAGGTAATATCTTCATCTCATCTCTATCTTAATAGAGGGAACTTGCTGGCTAACGATATGACTTTTGCAACTCAACATGCATGGCTCAAATGGTTATTCATTAGAGCATTTCTTTTATCCTTGTTTCACCTCTTGACTTCGGAATTATTACAGAAGCTCTACCAAGAAGGAGCAAGGAAATTTTGGATACATAATATAGGTCCCATTGGGTGCTTGCCACTTATGGTTATTCACCATGCCAAGTCTGGTGATGTAGACGAAATTGGTTGCGTTAAGTCTCACAATGAGGTTGCTCAAGAATTCAACAGGCAGCTTAAATACAGGATTTACCAACTAAGTTGCCGACTTCAGGGGGTGGAGCTTATTTCTGTCGATATCTATTCAGCTAAGTACACTTTAATCAGAGAAGCAACCAACTACGGTATGTATATACTCTTTAGATACATCAAACTAGTTAATTAGAGCTAATCATTTTATATGATAAATTGGTTAATTATTTCAGGTTTTCTTAATCCTTTTGAGTATTGTTGTGGGGATGATAATTGCAAATGTTGGGAGACATCTGCAACAAATATTAGTGCATGCAATGATCCATCAAAATACATTAGTTGGGATAGCCTGCATTATACTGAAGCTGCAAACTACTGGATAGCAAGCCGCATTATGAATGGCTCATTTTCTGATCCTCCGATTTCCCTCGAGAAAGCATGTTGAGATCCTCTTCTTCACTCACGTTTATCACCTCCAACATGTTATCCACCATGTTTTTGTTTTTTTTAAGTGTAATAACCAGAATTCTTCGTCTTTTGATCCTGGCGGAGGCTTATTAATAAATAAAGATGTAATAATCTAGCTCTTCATATGCGTGGTTTCAAAACACACTCATGCATGCATTAAGTGACAAAATTCAAATGATAAATAATTTACAATTGGATGTCATTTTTCTCAAGATATATTAAATTTAATATACATATAAAATTCCAGCGCAAAGCTAGAAATGCAATACAGGGGTCAAAATTAGAATAACAATAGAAAAAAAAAAATTAAACTAAAATACTAAGCACTAGACATTTGTTTTTGAGTTTAATGCACTTTACTCCCGAGGTTCCTAAATTAAAATNCAAGCAGCCGAGAAATTGGGATTACCTTTGCTGGATTCATATCTGGATTCTTTGCAATCAAATTTTCGACATGGCGCAAACTTTGCTGCTAGTCGAGCTACAATTCAGCCAGTAAATGGTCAGTTATGTGAGGGAAGTTATAGCCCCTTATATCTCGGTATTCAGCTTTTGCAGTTTGAGCAACTTTAAGGCCGCACTAACGAGTTTTACATTCAAGGTTAGAGATATAAAAACACCTGAAAATTTAATTAAAGAATTCTCATATATTCCTTCTTCATGCATTAGCCTTTCATTATGCTTTCTATGTTTTCAGCCAATAGCTCACACACCAAAGTCAAAAGTGATCTGCCAAGGCCAACAGACTTCTCAAAGGCTCTTTACACAATAGATTGTGGACAAAATGATCTTCATTATTTAGTTACAACGATGACGGAGGAACAAGCCAAGGCAGCCATCCCCAATATAACTAATCAATTTGTTCAAGTCATAGAGGTAATATCTTCATCTCATCTCAATCTTAACAGAGGGAACTTGCTAGCTAACGATATGAATTTTGCCACTTAATATGCATGGCTCAAACGGTTATTCATTAGAGCATTTCTTTTACCTTTGTTTCACCTCTTGACTTCGGTATTATTACAGAAGCTCTACCAAGAAGGAGCAAGGAAATTTTGGATACATAATACAGGTCCCATTGGGTGCTTGCCACTTATGGTTCTTTACCATCCCAAGTCTGGTGATGTAGACGAAATTGGTTGCGTTAAGTCTTACAATGAGATTGCTCAAGAATTCAACAAGCAGCTTAAATACAGGATTTACCAACTAAGTTGCCAACTTCAGGGGGTGGAGCTTATTTCTGTCGATATCTATTCAGCTAAGTACACTTTAATTAGAGAAGCAACTAACTACGGTATGTATATACTCTTTAGATACATCAAACTAGTTAATTAGAGCTAATCATTTTTATATGATAAATTGGTTAATTATTTCAGGTTTTCTTAATCCTTTTGAGTATTGTTGTGGGAATGATAATTACAAATGTTGGGAGAGATCGGCATCAAATATTAGTGCATGCAATGATCCATCAAAATACATTAGTTGGGATAGCCTGCATTATACTGAAGCTGCAAACTATTGGATAGCAAGCCGCATTGTGAATGGCTCATTTTCAGATCCTCCGATTTCCCTCGAGAAAGCATGTTGAGATCCTCTTCTTCACTCACGTTTATCACCTCCAACATGTTATCCACCATGTTTTTGTTTCTTTAAGTTAAGTGTACTAACCAGAATTCTTCGTCTTTTGATCCTGGCGGAGGCGTATTATAAAACAAAGATGTAATAATCAAGCTCTTCATGTGCATGGTTTCAAAACACACTCATGCATGCATCAAGTGACAAACTCAAATGATAAATAACTTACAACTGGATGTCATTTTTCTCAGGATATATTAAATTTAATGTATATATACACACACACACACCAGGGCGGAGTCAGGAATGCAATTAACAGGGACGTGGCCACTTAATAGAATATGGGTTCACTTGAACTCAAAGTTTGAAAAAAATTAAAATAGGTTTATATTTATTGCAATTGATAGTTTTGACCCCACTTAAATTTTATTGACCCATGAAAATTTATATTAATTACCAATTTTCCACATTTTCTCTCTTTTTCGTTTCCTCAACTCTTCTCTTATAATTTCTTTTTCCTTTAGTTGGATTAATTAAGAAAAACTACTCTTTGGAGGTCACAAGATTAGATGATACTCATTTGCTATTATTTTGCTTAAATTCTCTCTTTTTTTTTTTTATCTTTTTTAATTGATGAAAAATCATAATTCATGAATTAAGAGTTTTTTTTTTTTTTTTTTTTTTTTTTTTTTTTTTTTTTTTTAGTTTAATAAATGGGTTTTAAATTAAAAGATGAAATTCCTAGATTTTGATGTAGGTTTTAATTTAATCTTTTTTATGTTGACGTATGGGGTTTTAAGTTGGGTTTGATAAATTTTGGTTAGTTATTAAGTTAATTTTGAATAGGTTTCAAGGATTGATGAAACCCTAACCTATAGTGATTTGAGGATTTGATTTAATTTTGATATATTGGTTAATTGTTTGATATTTAGAACTGGATTTGATGAGTTTTCATATGTTTATGAGTTGAATTTTATTAAATTAGTAGAAATTGTTTGAAAAGTCTAAGTTATAAGATTTGAGGCTTCAGTTTATAGTTGATGATTTGATCCCACTGACTAAAAATCCTAGCTACGTCCCTAGGTCAAAATTAAAATAACAATAGAAAAAAAAAATTAAACTAAAATACTAAGCACTAAACATTTGTTTTGAGTTTAATGCACTTTACTGTTTACTCCCGAGGTTCCTTAATTAAAATGTTCTCCCTCAGGTATCAAAAATGATGATTTATCCTTTTTTGTTGTTATTCTGTTAAGATTTTCACTAACTGATTAATACATTTCAGATTTAATTCATTAAATTAAATATTAAAGCCCTAACAAGATACTGGCAACAAGGGGTAAATTATTATTCATGATACCTAAGTGAGAACATTTTTTTTTTCAGGGCTTTGAATTAAGCCTTTAAAGCACCTAAGGCCATTTTTTTTAACGATATGCACAAATTTGAGCTAATTAGTGACTTGAATCTCTTCTGATGCAATTTGTGAATGTGAACAATCATGAGCAAGAAAGTATGAAAAAGTAAAGTAATTGCACAAAATACAAAGTAAAGAGAATAGGGAAGAGAAGAGAAAATCAAACTTGCAATATATACTGGTTTGACCCAAACCCCGCCCAAGCTATCCCCTTTTGAGTATTCCACTATCTCATTTAGTCTTCAACCAAGACTAAGAATTTTTTCATACAAGTTGGCTTCCAGTGTGCAACTAAACCTTTACACAAGTGTTATATCCAACAGTTCAACCCAATTAACTTCAAGGTGTCAATTAGACCTTTCTCAATCATTAGGACTTGCTTTCTCTCATTAGAAAAGCCTAAAGCCCCTAAGAGTGAAATCCACTCTTTTACAATTTGAAATTTAATTTAATACAACGTTGAAAACTTTCTTAATAGAGTGAATGAACAAGTTTTTAGCCCAATACAACCCAATCTACAGAGTATATAAGTGATCGTGTAGCAAGTGTTTAAGGTAGAATGAGAAATTTGCAAGTGAAAGCTCTTTGAATGATTGAATACTTTTGGTTTGATGTTTTTGCAAGTTTAGAGTGATTAAAATTAATTCCATAGGATTTGGTTGGGTTTATATAGAAAATCCTCATTAAAAAAAAAAAAAAAAAAAAAAAAAATGTTATGCACAAAATGAATTTTCCAACTCGCATCATTTAGTCGACCTAATGGTTTATTTGGTCGTCCTATTGCTCAAGTGTCACTAGCTATTATAACTCTCTACTGACATTAGGTCGACCAAATAGTGCATTCGATCGTCTTAACAGGCTATTTGGTCTACCTAATAGTCGTCCTTTTAACAAGACATTTTGTAATACTTCTGTCCATATTGAACAACCATTAAATGGGTCAAACTGTAAGATTTTAAAATATGATATTTTAGACAATAATTAAAAATCAATAATAGGAACCCTACTCGGTTGATCTGATGGGTTAATGAATGAAAATTTACAGCTTTTTTTAACCCGTTTAGTTTGAAAAATGACATTTAGTCCCCAATTTGAAAAACACCCAAAAACAACTTTCTGGGAGCTTTAATATGTAATTCAATTTTTATAACCAAGACTCATGCTTTTACAAGTAAAAATGATTACAAGGAAATATACATAGACTAAGCTTTCTTGAATTCCTCAAAATTCTTCATCCAAGCTTTGCCTTTTTCCCTTCCTGATAAATCTTTGAGTGCATTGAGAAATTTTCTTGCCATCTAAGTTCACACTTGAGTAAGTGTCATTAGCAAACATGCTTAAGGGCATGTTAGTTTATTATTATTAAAATAAGAGCATAATGACTCCTTGAGTCAACACCTCTAAATAGCATAAGATTAACATTAAAATGTATATCCAAAATATAAAAATCAAGTGGAGAATCAAGTGTCATGAATTCTAATAAAAAAAATCTTCCAAATAAAGCTCAACAAAGGCTTAATCTCTAGGGCTTACTTAAATAACCCAAGCTATTCTAAAGTTTCCCCAAATTAGACATTTTAAATCTATCTCTTACTATAATATTTGATTTTGGTTTCGCTTGAAGTACACAATGTCATCAAAATAAGGATAACACTTGACAACCCCCTCAGATTTACTTTATCCACCTACCCTGAGGTATCAAGAATATCCCTAAACCCTCTGCGATTAGCTAAATTAATCTGACACAAATGAGGTATTAAAATCATTATGGCCCTTGTTAATTAAATAATATCTATCTTATAACCTTTCATCTCTATCCATTGTTTTCATTTCCCTTTTAACCCAAGTCTAATTGTCTTTCTAACTCCACGACACAGACTATAGCCTTAACTCATCCAGAATGGCCTGCTCTCCGCAAACCAAAAAACTCTCTTCCCCCTTACAATCTCCTCTCACTCCACTTTGCCTACCACAAAAACCCCTCTTTTTGAAACGTTCCTACCCGACTATAACAATCTAAACAACACATAACATTCACCAATGACGCTGAAAAGGTTAAGAAAATCTTCGCAACGCAGTGTTAGTTTACGACTTATCACAAACCCACCATGACCTGAAAAGAAACGATAAGCTTATCGAAAAAATTCCAAGTCCTCTACGATAAGCCTCACTGCAAATCTTGGCATAATGGTGAAGAGAGGTGATTTTGTTGTTAGAGGTTCGGTTTGATGGTGAGATTACAATAAGTACCAAAACTTTGGCACAAAATTTAGTGATGGAGCGTTAAAACAATAGCTTGAAGAGATCGAGGTAGAGTCGGGAGATGTTCAACTATGTTTGAGAATTTTTGTGTGATGTAATTTGGGTTGATAATGGCATTGAGGTGATCTTTTAATTGATTTAAAATAAGGAGAAAATGAAGAGGGGAAATCGAATAGGATTTGGGTAACTTGAGGAGTGAAAAGAGGAAAAGAGACAAGAGTGGAGTTGTTTTTATTTTAAAAAAAGAAAATAAAACTATAATAATGATTATATATATATTTTAAAATAGAACAAGCTTAGAGCATTATGTTTTTTTTGAGAACACCATTTTCATATAAATAAGGTATTTCAGTAATTTTTAAATATAAAGAATACACTTTTTATTCCCAATCCAATCGCTCTGTAATTTAAGAAAACTGTTCTATTTTTAAGAAAGAGACTAATGGGAGCGAGAATTAAAATAAAATGCATAGGAACTTGTAATTGATAATTAAAATTATGATAGAGAGTGAAATTTGACTCTAGAATGTGGCGAGCCAAAATTACTCTCTAATTTATATTTTAAAGATGAAAAGTATGTTAGATTTGTTTTATGGATAGAATCTCTATAATAAAGAGTTGTAGTCATATAAAGAGTCTTTTGGAGATGCCTTAAAAAAGCCGTTGGTAAAAAGGTGTCAATTTACACCTTCAATGAATGGTTAGAGCATCTCAAGTATATTTTATTTGAAGAGATCTTTCATATTAACTAAAGAGTAGTCATTATTTGTAATATAACGAACACAATTTTTTTATTCAAGTGCCAATAGATTCTTAAATGGAGATGAAGATTACTCTTTATTTTTAAGAAATACACTAATGGAGAGAACATTAATAAATAAAATGAGAGGAAACTACAACTTTGTAGTTTATTAATTAAATTAGAATAGAAAGTGAATTTGAATCTACTAAATGTGGAGAGCCAAACTCACTCTCTAAAATTTATATTTGAAAGATAAAGAGTTTGTTGGACTCCTTGTTTTATGGGATAAACTCTTCTATAATAAAGAGTTAAGTCATTATAAGAGTCATTGGGAGATGCTATTATAATCATTTATAGTTTTTATAGGGCCTTTACCATCTCTTGTCCCTTCATTTGGTAATTTAGCTGAAATTTTATAAAGTTCAGGTAACGGTCAGGGGTTTAGGCTATTCCGAATACCCTAAGGGGTTTAGAAATTGTTAGGTAAACGTAAAGGGCTGTTTCAATATATCCCTCAAATAAATCTATAGTTAATTGATGTCAATTCTATAATGGAAATCATTAGTTAAGTGAAATCGGCTTAAACCTGTTACAGACTTAACCTCCCAGTATTTCTTTTTAAACTCGTTTGGTTTGTTTCAAACTCATTTAAAAGAATATCTTAATTAGTAATGATCAAATATTTCAATATGTTTGTATAGCTTAAGAATGAAAAGTTGTTATACAAACGTGAAATATTAAAAATCTTGAAACTTAATACAAATATTTATAATATTATATATAAAATTTAAATTTTTTATTAAAAAAAAAAAAAA